CCCGGTCGAGCGCAGAGACGAACGTTCTCCGGGAAAGGCCTGAAGCAGGCGAGCGGATCTGAGGACGTGGTTTGGATGGACGCCGAGGGACGGGACACCTGCACGTGGGCAGATATTACAGATTGCCGTGACTTTTGGACTCCGTCCCGGAACACTCCTCGGAGTCTTTGTAAGAAATACAGAGATCTGTTTACCATTAGAGCTTCTCAGATCAGTCACGCTCGGAACAGATTGCTTAACTGGAACAAGGGACACGAGAGGACCATCATCTTCTTATCAAATCTATCAGTCACTGACTGCATAATCAAAACAGCAGTTTCAATACATTGACCTGTATTAAAGAGAATTACCCAGAAAAGTACCTGTGAACATCTCCTGTCAGACTGTGGTTCTTAACTCTGGTTCCTTAGAAAACCCAGTATTCGTAAACATCTCCCCTCAGCCTGTGCTCCAGGATTCAGGTCCTCGCATCGCCATTCACTCATTCATTCTGCTCTGGGCGGCCTATTCTGGCATTTGCTGGGTGTCACCATGTCGTACTTTGATAATCAGCATGACATGGCCGCCAATGTATCCACATCATCTAATTTGACAGAAGCACAGCACCTTCCACTGACAAATTTGACCCGGCCCACCCCACCCCATGCTCACTGCATGTCATGTGAGCTGGAGAACACTGACCAGATGCAGGACCACCTTCCCATTTTGGTCCCTTTGGTGTTGGGCCGTTCTTTGTCAAGTCAAGACAAAAAAATCATTGAGAAAACACAGTTGAGGCAAAAATGCCCTTCCCCCCCCCCCCCCCCCAAAAAAAGGTGCTGCTTCCTCTTTGCTTGATTTATTGCACTCTTCCTTCCCCATTAGATTTCATGGCGGAGCCCCCACTTTGCATGGGGAGTAATTAGATAAAACTAACAGCCGAAAGGCGACTGCATTCCTGCGTTTTAGGAAAACCTCGTCTCCAGCGGTTTGAGCCCGTTGCTTGAAAATCGGTGAGTCATAAAAGAATTTCTTCATCAAAATTACTCCTCAATGGAAACTCTTGCAGTGAGTTGTGGGAGGGGCTTGGTTGTCAGGTGACCAGGGTCATGCATGTTGATTGGCTCCACATGCAGCTTCTGTTCTTTCTTGGCACGCAGTGAGCCTGGCTGAACCCTGACACCCCTCCTGTTTCTACGATACATCCCGGCTCTCCGTCACTCCCCTGTACCCCACTGCCATCCTTTAAGTTTGTGTTCTCCAGCCAAGGCCCCGGCCCATGGGGGGGGGGGGGGTGAGAGACCTCCACCATTACTGAAGCCTCACTTGCAAAAATAAGATGCTAGATTCTTCATCACTAGTGAGATCACACATCTAGCAAGAGATCACACTTAATAACCTGGATTGGATTGTGGTGAGTGTGCTATTACATTCATGCATATGTATGTATATGTTTATCTAAGCATATATTTTTTGCATATATACACAGGGCATACGGCAGAGGGGGGTGATGCCCCCCCCCCAGTTGCTCCAGGGACACCAGATAAGTGGCCTGACACTGCACTCAGACCCCAACCTTTCCCTACAACTGTATATGAGTATAAAAAAAGCAAGATGGGATATGCAAAAATAAGCAATTCCAATGTACCTGTACCTATAGAAATGGCAGACAAAGCATCACTTCATTGCAGGAATACACATTAGCTACCCTGAAGCTGAACACAAACTGGTCCAGCCTCTGCTGCAAGGACGAGCCTTCGGGCTGTAATCCTTGGTCCAGTTTCACCGGCAACACAAAGGTAAGAGCCGTCAGATCCCCACGCAGCCACAGACCCACATCCGTCTGTCATAAAAAGCGTCTGCGTGTGTTTGTGCCGCAGTCCTGCGCTCGGGGGGCCTCTGCGTTCCGGAAGCGGCCAATGAGAGCCGCCTTTGAGCCCCCCCCCCCTCGACAGCCCGTCACTTGCTCCCGCCTGCGTGTGACATTTCTGCTCGGCGTCACAGGACAGGCAGACGCTTATGCTCCAGCTGACTGCTCTGCATCTGTGGTCTATTACTATTACAAATACGCATAATTACACGAATCTCAAAATATGACACAAGTGTGATTTGTCCCGGGAGAAAAAAAAACAAACGAACTTAATGAGTACTGGTTGTGAGAACATTTCAACAGAGATGTAATTTTCCATGCAAACGCAGTCATTCGCCTAAAAAGCTTTAATGGTGAAATCGGGAAGAGCAGGTTGGACTTTAATTCCTCCGGAGAAGATTTTATCTGTTTTTCCTCCGCTGAGCCGAAAGGCTGCAGGAAGATGACCCAAAGCGGGGCAGCTGTTTTGTAAATAGAGTCCTGCTTTCCAGTTCCTGCCACGGCCGTTTCACATACAGACTCATCCACTCTGGCCGCCTTCCCCAGTCTACCCTGTATTTCACAAATCCGCCGCGTAGTCATTGTTTTTATACATAGTTTTAGTCTACAAATACTGCGACATAATCATAATTGTTCATTTGCTAAAAGGGGTCGAGGTCTCATTTTCCCCGGAAAGACAAAAAACAAAACTCTAAATAGCCGTAGCTGCTGGTTTTGTTAATCACGCTGGGAAACAGTTTTACGACAAACTCTATGAGTCGCATCTTGCTGACATGACTAAATTTACCTTCGATGAACTCTCACAAACGTTTCACATCTGTACCCTGTTCGTGATTGCTATCGTCTTGCTTTATACTTTATAGATTATTACAGATTATGTTTCTTTTTTTACTTCTACCACACATACATTGTGGTGTGAAAGTTTGTGCCCTGCAATGCATTGGCATACCCTTCGGGGGCGCTGTACCTCCCGTGTTTGGCTCCAGGTTCACCGTGTCCCTGTGCTGGATGATTGGTTATGGAAGGTGGATGGACATCCCTCATCTCTACTGAAATTAAGTACCCAGGCCACAAGGGCAGAAAGGCTCCAAACAGGAAATTAAAATCAAGCAGCAAAGGTACCTCACATACTATCGTGTTCTTCTGGCTTCCTGGACCTTGAACATGAAGCCCAGGTTTCATCCTGTAAAATTCTGGCTTGCTGTTTTTTTTTCTTTTAAGTTAGTCTCGGTTTGGGTAATTATTTACAGCCTGGCACTCCTGAGATCTCCTGTTGATGTTAACTCGGTTCTAGATATATATCTTATATATCGTAAACAGAGGTGACATTCAACGCCACCAGAGCTGAAGCTACCAAAAGCAAAGATCTACTGATTCATCTGTTTTCCAAAACTGTTTATCTAGTGTGAGGTCACTGTGAGCCAGAGATGTGTCCCTGGAAGCACAGGGAACAAGGCAGGGACACCCTGGAGGGGACGCCTGTCAATCAAAAAGCAAGCCCACACAGTTTGGGGAATTTAGGGACCGTTTACCGGAAATGCGTGTTTTGGACTGTGGAAGCAAACACATCCGAACATCCGAACTCCACATACACAGCGCTATGGAATAATCACTAAGCTGGTCCATAGTTTAAAAACAAAATCAAACGTGTAATTTTAACAGTATTATACAAGTTTACTATATATAACGCTAAATGTGCTGTGCGGTAAAGTTAACGAATATGACATATGCATAGAGTTTATGCAAGATTTCAGTTTATAGACGTGTTTTTATTTGGTCATTGTAATATTTTGTAATTTTTTTTAACTGAATGTGGGTTTTCAGATTTGTGTATTTGTTCTGTATATATTACGCTTTGCGCAAATGAAGGTTTCAGCTCACGAGGCTCCAGCGACTGTTTAACGGCCTTTGACGTCAACAATTCTGGTTGTTAGTTTGCTGCTAAAAATGCGTTTTTTCGGCGTTGATTGACCTCAGCGGGCCATGCGGCAAGGAACCGCACCAGGGCCCCTAACAGCAAACTTGCATTTTATTAAATGACGGTTAAATAAATCATTTTGACACTTTAAGGGCGATGTCTTGTAATTATATATTTTTTCAAATATCTACGAGTATCTGAAGTTCAAGTCTTCAAGTTAATTAAGATTAGGCTATTTAATTCATTAAGCGCCCGTCCGCGCACCGCGATCATTTGACTGATACCTATGTCTTTATGGCATTTGCCTGCAGAAATCGCCCGCCAGAGTGCAAATTCAAGGCTGTGTCTCCTACAAGGGATCTGGACCGAAGTCAGATGCTTTTCATTTAACGCGTCTGGCCGCTGCCTTAACACCTGCTAGTTTAAATGTTCTTGGTACTTTGCGGTTTTCAATCTCTTAAATATCTTTATGCTGTGCCTCGTATTGCCGTGGCGGTCTCGGGTGGTATTAAACACATGTTTTGGTTATTCGTCAACGCTCAAATATTTGCGGTTAATATTGACAGGTTCTTGATGCATCCTGATCGGTCCTGAGAGTTCATCCGCAATGCCAATAGACGTGCCAGTAATAACCAGAAAAATATCAATAAAAGCGTCTAAGTTCAGTTTGTTGTGAACACAATTTTCAGGCCTCTTTTCATGGGGGAGAAATGTTATTTGGTTGAAATCCGGCGTAGCTGGTGCATAATAATATTTATCTAGGTTAAATATCATCTTATACGTTCGGAAATAATTAACTAAAGCTGAATTTGCCCTTTAACAAGGGCGAAGATCTTGCGATGTACACCAATCTGTTTTTCCATTAGCCCAGGTACTTCCCGATGCTGCCCCCTAGCCACGGAAAGGTAAACTGCATCTTGCGCATACCAAGCCTATCCGACTTATCTGGCGTCGATTCTTTGTTTATCGGCTCAGTTTCGTTCCAGTATTTCTCCTTCTCAGTTTTGTCGCATTTCTGTCAGAAGATACCCCAAATGCTGAACTAGTTAGCTCAGTACCTGAATATAAGCATGTAGCATTTCTTCTTTTTTTAACCCTGGGTAGCCTACTTCTTTATGGTCGGTTATTGTTTTACAAGACTGACCCAGTATGGTCAGTATGGACCTAATTGCCATAAACGGTTGGAAGATGGATGGATGGACGAATAAGTAGTCCAATTATCGGTTGCACGACCGTATTTGTGCTGCTATACCATTTTCTAAATAGTCTGTTTTTGTACTATCGGGTATTGTTCACTAAGTCGGCCAGCAAAACGTCATTTGTGAAATGACTTAGTTTTTTTATATAGCCTATGTGTATAAAACGAATAGCGCAGAATCAATGCAGGCGTCGAGTCCAACCAAAGCATTAAAATGCGTTTCACTATATATTTTGTGTGTGTGTGAGCGAATGAGTGTGAGACCGCGCCGCGGAGAGAGGGAGAGGGGGAATGTGTGGATAGGAGAAAAAAAAGTGGGTGTCGCTGTGCATGACGGGCTCAGAGCTCCATGATTGTAATTTAGGGAGGGATTTAAACATTACACTCCGTGTTTTCTTAAGCGAGCAGGGAGCCGCCGCATGGGACCTGCTTGGACCTGCAGCCGTTTGATCGCCCAGGGTTACTGAAGTTTAAGCCCGAGGCGTGATAGTTACGATGTATCCAAACTCTTAACTTTAAAACCCCGGTGCTCGGACTGGAGCGGGACTGATCGCAGCGTTACGGCGACCCAACAAGTCTGTTTAACTGGGAAATGATCACACATGAACGGCGGTGGAAGGAACATGGTTGAGAGGACCAGCAAATTTTTGTTGATCGTTGTCGGATCCGTCTTTTTCATGCTGATCCTGTACCAGTACGTGGCTCCGGGGATGATGAACTTCGGCTCTCCCCACGGGTACCTTTTGGAGGACGACTCGGATATCTTTCCGACTCCGGATCCACATTACGTGAAGAAATACTATTTTCCTATCAGGGAGCTGGAGCGAACGGTGGATTTCGAAATAAAAGGGGACGACGTGATCGTCTTCCTGCACATCCAGAAGACGGGGGGGACCACTTTCGGCAGGCATCTGGTGCAAAACGTGCGCCTGGAGCTGCCCTGCGATTGCAGACCCGGGCAGAAAAAGTGCACATGCTACCGGCCGAACAGGAAAGAGACCTGGCTGTTTTCGCGTTTCTCCACGGGCTGGAGCTGCGGCTTGCACGCAGACTGGACGGAGCTCACCAACTGCGTACCGGGGGTCCTAAATAAGAAGGAGAATAAGCTGAAAAAGCCCAGGTATGACACGGGATGGCTTTCCCGCTGACATCGCCTTTCTCCAGTATGCGGCGGCCTGTCACATATACGTTGTTTTATCCCTCGGGCTCGCATTAACGTGTATAAAAGGTGTCTAAAGAAAGTGAAACCTTTTGGGGAGTGTGTCATACTGCGGTGCATTTTTTTCCTTTTTGGGGACCGATGTCTGCTTTTGTACTGTCCTTTCTGAGGCGTTTTTCCAGCGGTCGACCTTGTTTCTGCTGATTCCACACATCGCATGATACTGGTTTATAAGTAGCCCGGAGAAAGATAAACGTGCTTGTTCCGATATGAAAATAACTTTTATGGATGGGAAGTCTAGCTAAGGGTGAGGCCGTCTGGCATATTCGCTCCCAGTTGTCAATGATGTCTTCATTGGCTTCATTCATATCTCCCGTAGAAGTCGCCTAACTTTAAAAATGTGCATAATGCTTCCAGAATCTTGTCCGGTCTGTAAGTGTTTGCATTAAGTTATTAGTTGATGCGGTCGGATTTGTATTCCAACTGATGCCTTAAGTAGACCCAACTTCAGCATGAATGTCATCTCCTTTATCGCTTTGTGGTAACAATGCGACGTTTCAGAGACGAAAGCGAAAAGACGATTGTGTTTAATGACAAAAAAAAGGTTCATATGTCCATTTAGCCGACGTAAATGCTTATGATGGTCTTTGCGGATGGCTGTATGTTCTACTGAAATGATTTTCTGCATCTGCAAAACCGACAGCATCGTTGTGTACGGGCGTTTTTTTAATATGATCAGATATGCTTCGTTGGTGCCAAGGGGAGATTGCTTTGCGTGTAGCAAAGGAGCATAAAGTGCACGAACACAGGTACATATATAAACGGAGAGACTGTAAGGAACCGTGTCGACTGGCGTTACATTGAGACTTACGGGGTAAAGCCGTGATCACTAGACATGGTAGAGGACATCTATGAACAAACATGCTGCTGCTGAAAAGTGTTATTTTTAATGAACTTTGAGTACACCTTGGCTCCCACACCTGCTTAGATTTCTCATGAAATCGTCTAAGAAATCCCGGGATCACGTGGCTATGGCTTTGGGGGGTGCTGAATAGGCACCCGCTGGTAAACTGAAGATCCAAAACAGTTTCTGAAACTCTAAGTGATTATTGGGCAGTGTTAACACCCAGAACTTTAATAACAACGCTGTTGTAACTGTCCCGGTTATTTCCAGCATGGAGATGGACCGATGTGGTAATGAAGGCAGGATCTGTGTCCCTGTGGATTCGGGTCGCATCTCTGCGATGTCACCTAAAGCAAGCGTTTTTGACCATTGCACACTCACCCTGTTTGAATGATCCCTAGAGCAATTTGCCTGCAGCCCTGTAAAGTATTCTGCACTGTGGTGTTGGGGGATTACGGTCTCCAGCATTTACACTCTGTTTTCTGGTACACCTTGACGTTTCAGCCCTTGTACTGCTCCGTGAAGGTTCTGGAAGGATTCTCTCATCCAGGATATGAGGAAGACCTCCAGAAATACCCGTGTTCCCTGGGATTGCCTCATCTCGTAGCTCGTAGCAGCGAATCGGCGGGATGAGTCCTTCCGCAAATCGACTCATTAAGTGACTTAACAAATTTGTCTTTTCCTTTCCGCCGCCCACAAAGACGTTTCCTTCAATAAAACGGTGGCTTGATTCACTGCCCAGTGTGAGTAAAGTAAAGTTATTTGCTGGGACTGTCCAGGACCTAATTGACCTTCTTTCTTGCCTTGAGGGCCTTGCTGTCATTTGGTTTGCTTTCATCTTAAGCCATGATTGTAGGAGCCAGCTGAGCACCATTTGGGTCTCCGGTCTTTTCCATGCCCACCCAGCACCGCTGGTGAACTTTTGGCCTTGTATCCTGTTGCGTTCTTCAGACTTACTGCCACAGAATGTGAGAATCTCTTTTCATTCCAGTGGCGCTTAAGGCATGGGTGGTACATGTGAATGCTGATGGATTGTGCAACTCGCGCTTGATTAAAAATCGCATTCATTTGATTGATTGCATTTAATGCAAGTGGACGAGGAACACGACTGCTGCCAGGAATATTACACGTCCTTCCAGCCTGGGCCTCTAAGCATGGAGCAAATGACCCATCCCAAACCCAACATGCGTATGAGTTTGGTGACAGAGAGACGTCCCACCCCTGAGTGCTTATAAACAACGAGCCTGTGAGCTTTGGAGACACAGAAATGAGCTGCTCACAGATGTCCAGTGCCTTTTCCATCTCCCTTGGGGGGGGTTGGGCAAATGGGGTGTTTACCCATCCCGACAATAAATGCCTGTCCTTGAATGGCTTTTTTCTGGGGGTGGGGGCAGTAATGTTTAATGGAGTCACAGCCTGGGGAGCTCGCTGGTTATGCGTCGCTTTCTGAGCGCGCAGGTCTGCATGGACGGTCTCTTTCTGCTTCCGCAGCATCTTGCGGCTGCCGCGCTGCATTGGGGCCAGAAATGTGACGAGTGGCTTCCTTCCCTTTTCCTCATCCTTATTCATGTATGTATGTATTTGCCTGTCTCTGTCTCTCTGTTCGTTCTCTACCTTTACATGCGGGAAAACACTTGGTCTTCGTCTCTCTCCCCCCCCGGCCACCTTGGGTATTTTATTCATTTAAGCAGGTTAAAGTGACTAAACTAAGAGAGATTTTTATTTATTTATTTTTTTATTTAGATGTCTTCTGTTTGTTTATTGCTGCATTCTGGGAGTGCAGTCCTGCTGCAATTGGTCGAGCTGCAGCCGTTAGAGTTGATTCATTACCCGAAAGCCGTTTTCCAACAACCTGTTCTCTGCAGCCCCTGTAAATCATAGACTGTACCCCCCCCCCAGGGGGATTGGAGGTGGTTCCGTTTTACCCCCCATCTCTACAGGCTCAGTGTGCTGACGCTCATGATGAGCCAACCACAGTAGCATGTGAAGATGAGACCGCCTGGCTGAAAAGGCGCGATTAATTTTTAAAAATTTCATTAAGTGTGATAAACTGGCATCATTTTTAATGTTTCATTAGCGGAAGCTCGGGGGCGTCTGCCTGTACTGAGTCCCTGTGATTCCAGCGAGTGTTTTGGTGTCCCGGCTACTGTGGGGGGGTGATGTGAGCAGAAGGTTGCTGGTTCACAATCCTGGAGTCAGTGGAGTGATTCGTTTGACCCTAATTTTTCAATAAACTGGGAAATCATTTTGGATAAAAGTGTCTGCTAAAAAAATAAAGGGCAATGTAAATAAAAGAAACCTGGTTTGTCTGAGTCCCCCCCCCTCCCCGAATGATAGTTCCTCTTATTAATAGTCCACCAGCGAGCAACATGCCTCAGTACTGCGGAAATTCACTCTCTGCCCGAGTGAAACTTCTGCATCAGCAGGTGTTACCACATAGTCTTGCGTTGTTCTTTCCATCCCACGTTCCGCGACCCAAAATATTTAAAGAAGTACAATAATGTGAGTTAATACCGTATTGTTTACATTTCCCCCCGCCCTGTTCTTTTCTGTGGTGGTATGTCCATTAAATGTCAAGTAGACAGGTTGTTCCAACCTCTCTTGTTATCAGTGAACTGTGATAGTTTGTGAAAAGAAAATCAGGGACAGTTCCTTCTCTGGGAATTTTGGGGATTTTGGGAATTTTCTCCTTCACCTTGAGTGGCTTTAGGGCTTTGAATTGTCTATTGAGATGCGTGTCGCAGTGTTAGTGCCAAAGTACCGGAGTGGATAAGAAAAACAGGTTCGTTTGCCGACGGCCCTGAACGTGTTTCATCGGGCAGCACGGGGAAGTGAGTAAATCCCCGCTGGAAATCCCAGCAAAGGTGGTGCTGCGTGACTGCCTGTGAATAAAGGCTGTCTGTGCAATCCTGTACCCTTGAACCACAATGTGTGGCGCCCCCTTCAGGGTGGTGCAGTTAAGGCATGGGGAGGTGGTGACGTCACAGCAAAGCCCCTGCTGCTAAGCCTCGTAATGTTTTGTGGTCAAATCTCATCTTGGAGAGGTAGGGTTTGTGGCTCCATTGGGCAGTAAGGGATGGATTTTTTTTTTTGGTGGGAGGGGGGTAGCGATGACCTACATTTTATTAATTTATCCAAAGTGACTTACAGTAGAGGGGTTACAATTTTATGCATGCACCCTGGGATGTGATCCCACGATCTTTGCTTTGTTAGCACTGCTCTGCTTGTTCAGCTAGGGAATCGGCAAGGCTTGCTTTTCATGTGGAAGATGTGTCCGTAACTGATGTGGATGCGCGTCTCCTGTAGGGGGCAGTAGTGTGCAGGGGGCAGCTCTCAGCTCGCTCTTCTCCTCCAGGGTGGGTGCAGTGGGTTTAGATGAGGAGTGGAGGACTGAAGAGCGCCCCCATCTGGTATAGAAACAATCTTCATTTCTCAGACTTGTTTTTCGCTGGAGAAACTTCGTGACACCGGTCATTGGTAATTCCAAGCCCTTTTTTATCGACTGGGAGACCGTGGTAGGAAACTCATTCCTGTGGCCTGAGTGGCCTCCACACACACCTCCTTCATTGCCCTGGGGGGGGAATGCCGTGAATCCTGCACCCATCCCAAAAGGTTGGTGGCGTTGATGGACAGCGTAGATTGTTTTTGCCGCGCCTGTCTGTGTTAATTCTACAGCTACATCTGCTAAGGTGTTGGTGAAAGAGGGGTGAGATTCCCCTCCTGTTCTGGAAGAGCGGCTGCTTTGTGTCCCAGAAAACTTTGTTTAAGAAAGTCTTAGGGATGCCACAGATAAAATTCGCTGTCACCGTCGCCGCTACGCTCTGCTGGCCGGCCGGCTGCCGCTGGCTTGGGTTGGAGATCTGGGGATTAAAGTCGGGTTGTTGGGGGGAAATTGTGCAGGTCTGTTTGTCTTCGGAGCGGAGTGGAGCAGGCGAGGCATGGGAGGCTTTTGTGAATGGCAGGCCGGGGGGGGGGACGATATCCTCAGAAGCTCCCCGGCTGTTAGAGTTTTTGTTTTGTTTTTGCTGTCTGGAAATTCGGCGACGGTGGCATGCGA